TTGCCAAATCATATATTCTGTCGCCATCTTAAGCGTCTTTATGAATATTATGCTTGCCTCCCTTTCGTCTTAAAAATGTCTGTCAATGTATCTCCAGAATAAAGTCTTTATTTACCCTTTCAAATGTTCACCACTGCCTTTATCCTTGCTTCCCATACACCTTTCCTTTGCTTTATTCATGTATACGTCTGTCCCTGTTCTGGCTACATCCCATCTACACCTGTCTGCATTTGTATTCCTAGCCCACTTACTCTAGCCACATTTTAATTCTATTTAAATAGATATATTTTTTAATATCTCTGACCCCTACTATCGCTTAATCGCTGACTATTTCCACATGTATCCTACCTATGCCGCCATCTTTTTTTGCTTGTATGCCAATCTCATCAGCGTCCCGCATGTCTCCCTGCCTCACACTTACAATTTTATCTCCTTTTTTATATTGCTGCCCCATAGTCGTCGTTATGCACTTGATGTATGCCCTAGTTCTCTCTCCTTATCTCTCTTCTACTATACGACCCGTCTTCAATGCCAATCCTTACAATAAGGCCTGTTTATAGCCTTGACGACCAATTGAACCAACTGTCCTGCATCCGTAGTCTGCTCGAAATGGTTCATTTTAATGGTCTACCTCAGAACAGTCGCTTTGACCGGCGAGGGCGGACAGCCCAGCCGACCTGATGGACGTTACGATGGACGCTTTCACCGACGTATGGCTGTATCTGCACCGCAGACATTTGCAAATGTTCCTTGTCGGATGAGTCTGGAAGGATTCGCTCAAAACGCCAACTTTGTAGGCGAAAGGGGCTGGATCTGCGAAGCAGCAATTTGATCCAGCTCAGATCCCAAATACCCTTTAAAGCGCCTGCATGGAACAAGCACAGTTTTGGAGCTTGAAAGCCGAAGGGTCATGAGTGGGTTTGGCTCCTTTCAGCTGGAGCCAAGCCCTGGTGAGTCGGTGAAAGGGCCGTTCACAGCATACAACATAAAGGCACACATTTAGTGTGCGTATTTGAGTTGAGTTTCGAGACTACCAGTAAATCATTGATATGAAATGAATTCACCCTATTTCGTTTAAGGTGATGAAGGAATGGTAGAAGAAGATTTTTTCCACAATGACGTTTCCACTGAATTTCACATAGCCTTGCTTTCCCAAAAGTTGTTCTCATCCAGGTGGGATTGCCGATGAAGCAAACGTATATTTGCTATAATAATCGACTTCCATACTTTATTTTTCCAATTAAGTATTGTTTTCGTGACTACCAGTAAATCAGTAATATGAAATGTATTCACCCAATTTCGTTTAAGGTGATGAAGGACTGGTAGAAGAGAAATTTCCCCACAATCATATGAGTAAAGCTGACGTTTCCATTGAATATCACATAACCTTGCTTTCCCAAAAGTTGTCTCATCCAGAGTGGACTCGCATCGGTCTTATCAACAACTCCAACGGGAGGCTATGTAAAATTTAATGGAAACGTCAGCTCTACTCATATCATTGTGGGATAATTCTACTATCAGTCCTTGAACACATCTCATTTAGTGTGTTGATGAGGAGAACCAGATTTTGAAAGAACTTATTGGCATGTAATGGTTGCATTTACTTACAGTTCTTGTGTAAACGTGCGGAATGGAGGCAAGAACTACTGAAAGCAGTGATTTGCCATCCTTTTCCTTAATTTGGTCGTGCCGTCAGGCTAACTTGTATGGAAGTAACTTGTCCGCAACCCTCTACAATAGTAATCACAAGAATTTCCAGAATCTGTCCTTGGACATGGCGGAGGACTCCAGAGAATGTGTGAGCATCTCGGTCACTGTGAGGACACGATCCAGTTGCGAAAATGAAACCAAACCACTTTTGTACAAC